GACATGTTAACATGATAGATCAAAATTCGAACAACTCGGATAACACCGATGATGCTTAATAGCAACCTGGATAATAAATGACACTCACTTTTAGTTGTCAAATGAATCAAAATGATCACAATTAAAATGGGTCATCTAACCTAGATTAGTACTAATTAAACACCATTGATATAAAATGGTATTACTCTTAAATAAATGACTCGATGTGATAAATATTTTTCGTTTAAATAGCAGTGACTCAGATTCAATTGATGATCAACTAGTGACTTGGTGACTCGGTACTTTATCCGAGTCAACAACTAAGGGCCCGTTTGATTGCGAAAATGAAATTTGGGTGGAAAGAAAACGAATTTTAAGGAATTGAATTGCCTAGAAATTATTTTCCTGGAAATTGTAAATATTGTGTTTAATTAGTATAATTTTTCACGTGAAAAATGTTGAAATAAAAGTATTTTTTGGTGTTAGTTTGACTTTATTTTACATGAAAATAAAAGGATAGAATTTACTAGTATTGGGGATGAAATTTGTTTCCATTGCCACAAAAAAAAAATCCAGAAAATCATCTATCTTTTGGTGTTCGTTTAGTTTTGTTTTACATAAAAATTGTCAATTAAAGGAAAATATTTTTTTACAATTAGTTATAAAATTTGTTTCCATTGCTAAAATAAAAAAAAAAAAAAATTGCAGCCATCAAACACTTTTAAAATTGGAAAATGAAATTCCTTTTCATGAAAAATCTCTCCTATCAAACACACCTAAGTGCTTGTTTGGAATAGTTTAAAAGTTGAGATCAAAATTAACAATTAATTTTAACCACACTTCATAATTTTTAGTATTAACTTTTCAACTGCACATATCATTTATTTTTATCAAAAGTTTTACAACGTGTATTCACATGGTAATTGAATACATTACTTAAGTTTAGGGTTTATCTCTTGAGAAAGAAATCTAAATCCCACTAGGCATCGCAAGATGCAATTTTAAATTCCAATTGGGTTGAATCTTTAATCCTATTAATTGATAGTTTAAGTATTGATTGAATCTATTGTTCTGTACGATGAAGTTTAGTCAGTCTCTTCATAATATTAAAGTATTGATTCAACATTCAATAACAATTGTGGTTTTGTACAATCACCTTGGAGATATTTTTAAAGTAATGATTTTAAATTCAAAGTTGTATTAAAATGTTCACGAAATAAGATAAGAAGAATTATGATACAATTAAGATAGTTACATGTTGTTAGCCTTATTAAAATAAGTAGGTCACAACTACGGCGGCTTTACTTCCCTTTTTTTCTTCTAACCCCAATCTCCTTGTTCCAAATATACCTTTTAAATATAAATGATCATATTTAGGGTTTGTTTGGGAGGAAATGGTGGCAGATAGCCAAAAAAAATATACAATTTTTCAAAATGGCCGTTGACCACTGTTTAAAAAAAAAATCAAAAATTTGTAAAAACTTTAAAAACATTGAAAACCCAAAATTGCCCTTGACATTTTCACACTAAAACCGACATCTGGAGAAAGAAGAGGAAGGAAAACAAGGAAATCGACGAGCTTTTCTTGGGAGAAGACCGACCGGCTACCATTAGAAGCGAAGAAAGTAAGTTTTACATAATTTTTCCCCCATTAATCTATGTTATAGGTTTATTTTGTTGGAAATAGTGGTAGAAATCTTTGTAGAATATGGAAAAATAGTAAAAAATAAATTTTTTTAAGGTTTGGGTGCCGAAGATCGTCTAAAATGGCGATCTCTGGCACAGGGGGCCGTCTTTGACGGCCCATGCGAGGAAGCCGTCTGTGCCGTCTGTTAACAGACGACGTTAACAGATAGCCACAAACGCTGTCTATTAAGACGGCCCGACTGTTTTTACTTTTGTTTTTTATCTTTAAATAATTATTTAATTATTATTTAAATGATAAAAGAAAAATATAAATAATGAATAAATGTATTATAATAATCAAAATATGCAAGTAAAATTTAATTACAGATTAATTGAAAGAAATTTAACCTTTTAAATAAATAATTAAATATTTATGTTTACTTGTTCAATAAATAATTTAAATAATCAAATAATTAAATTAAATAATTTAAATGAACAATTGAAATGAAAAACCATTGGAATAAATAATTAATTTCTCACAAAAATAAATAATGGACATGTAAATAATAATTAAATGATTATTTAAATGATAAATAAATAAATGTTATTAATTAAAATACGCAATTAAAATTTAATTGATACAAATTTCTAACATTTGAATTAAATAATTACGTTTGCTTGTTCAATAAATAATTTAAATAATCTTTCCATATAAGTAATTAAATCAAATAATTTAAATGAACAACTGAAATAAACAATGAAAAACAATTGGAATAAATAATTAATTGAAATGCACAAAAATAAATAATGAACATTTAAATAATAATTACATGATTATTTAAATGATAAATGAATAAATGTTAATATTGAAAATATTAATTAAAGTTTAATTGAAATAAATTTCTAACATTTGAAATGAATAATTAAATATTTACCTTTGCTTGTTCAATAAATAATTTAAATAATCGATTCATATAAGTAATTAAATCAAATAATTTAAATGAACAATTGAAACAAATAAATGAAAAACAATTGAAATAAATAATTAATTGAAACACACAAAAATAATAATGAACATTTAAATAATAATTAAATGATTATTTAAGTGATAAATGAATAAATGTTGATAATCAAAATATTAATTAATGTTTAATTGAAATAAATTTATAACATTTGAAATAAATAATGAAATATTTGTGTTTGCTCTTGTTCAATAAATAATGTAAATAATCGATCGGTATAAGTAATTAAATCAAATAAATTAAATAAACAATTGAAACAATTAGATGAAAAATAATTTGATAAAAATAATCAAAGTAAGTAATTAAAATGTAGATAAAAAATTGAAATAAATATCTAATATTTAAAATAATTAATTAAATATTCGCTTAATAATTAAAATAAATATTGAATAAACAACTAAAAAAAATATAACAAATAATTACATATTTACGTTTAAATGTTCAATAAATAATTTAAAGAAAATAATTAAATATACAATTAAAATAAATAATTAAAATTAAGCATTTAATAAACAATTAAAATAAATGTGAAATAAACAAATAAACAATCGAAATAAATAATTTAGATAAACATTTGAAATAAATAATGAACATTCAAATAAAAATAACCAAATTAAATAAGTAAGAAATATAAATTTTCAAAATAATTTATTTAAATATGTAATTAAATATAAATAATCAAATTTAATTAAATAAAGAATTGAAATAAATTTCTAACATGGGTTAAAATAAACTATAAAATAAATAATTTTATAAAAATTAGTTTTTCCCTTTTTTATAAATTGTTGTGTAATTTTTAATTCATTTTCTTTATTATCTGTTATTTCGTGCGTATATTACTTACAGTTCGGTTAGTTGAATTTTGTGACATTATGTTTCAAATGTTCTAACATTTGAAATTTTGTAGGATGGATTATCATTTGGACGCAGCCTTAAGACAGGTTCCTGGCAAAGTTATGTGTAACTTTGCCAGCTTCACAGCAGTGTTGGATTCACTGGACGAGGAGCACGCAGAGATATTACGTCGATCCTGCCTATGGCCACTGTATTCACTGCGATCTGTACAGTTCTCTGGACAGTTGATCGATTCATTACTGTGTCGGCTGCTTAAGCCAGTTGACGGAGATGCCCTTCACTTTGATCTTGGGGGCAATGTTGCTACATTTTCTATATTCGAGTTTGCCCTCATCACTGGATTGAGATGTACAGGCGAAGAGGCAGCGAGGGCCAGTATTTCGACAGACAAGAGGCTGCTGAATGATTATTTTAATGGGCACACGACAGTAACACTAGCGCAGTTAGGAGATGCATTCAGGGGATGCGAAAAGATGTCCAATAAGTTGAAGTTGGGGATGGTGTTTATACTAGAGAGCATACTGAGGTGTCATCACAAGAAGACGTCGATTGACGTTTTTCATTTGCAAGTTGTTGATGACATCGATACGTTCAACAACTATCCATGGGGGAAGATATGTTTTTTCGATACTTTACACGTTTTCAGGAGGGGGCATTCGATACTTAGGGGAGATAGGTCGGAGCGTAAGTACGATGTCTATGGCCTGCCGTTAGCTTTGCAGGTAAGTGTTTAACATAATGCGTTATCCATTTTTTTTATTAAATTGTACATATAATAATCGTAATTGTTGCAGATATGGGTCTACGAGACTGTTCCCATCCTGGCTGGTTGGTATGCGAGGAGAGGGGATACATGCATCCCTTGGATGCACCGCTGGCGAGCACAAGACAAGCCTCTTGCAAAACAGCTATCAGTTATCCTAGACGATCCTGAGGTACGTATTATATATTTGCGCTTTCTATTGTATGTCATTTTCGAAACTGGATACGTGGTCAGTAATTCGATGAAATGTCAATATGTCAGCTTAAAGTCCTCACTGAGCTGATACCATCAATTGAGGAGGAGGATCAGACTTATATCCGTGAGTTGTTGACAAATCGTGCTGCTCGAGAGAGGCTTGAGTCCATCATCGATCGGGACACGGTATGTTAATTGAATATAATATGTTGATTATCATTATAAATTTTTAATGAAGTTATTGATTTGTAATGTTTCTTTTTTCAGGAGCGCCGTCGACTATCACCTCCGCCGAGGGTGTCACCTCCGTCGAGAGTGTCACATTCCCTGAGGATGTCGCCTCTGTCGAAGGTGTATCCTACCTACATGCGATCACCTCCGTCGAGAGTGTCACCTCCATGCATGAGATCACCGTCTCTTGCGTTCGGACACCTCCCACGTGAATCAGATGCACGTAGTCAGAGTGCTTCTATCGATGATATGTTCCGACTTATGATGGAGATCAGAGGCGACTAGTTGGCTTATGAGGTGAAGTAGCTGACTTATGACGTGATGTCGGGATGGTACAGGTCGGTTTAGTAGACCTTTATGCTGACGTCGTAGCGATACGGGGCGACATAGTAGGCCTGCGTGGGACTGGCGAGTATCGGGATGGAGGGGGTAGCGGAGGGACAGGCGGTTATCAGGACGGAGGGAGTGACAAAGGGACAGGTGGAGGGAATGACGGAGGGGCAGGCGGCTATCGTGATGGAGGGGGTGACGGAGGGGCCGGTGGTTATCAGAGTCGAGGAGGTTAGACGGGGTATGTTGACTCATTGTGGGCATCGAATGATGCATTAGCTTCATATCTCGATGGCCTGATAGATATGGAGATGGAGGATTAGGCCCCGATGGAGACGGAGGAGAGGGTACTCGAGGCGGCGATCGGAAGGGTGCCGTCGTTAGGGTGTCGGAGGAGAAGAGGGTCAGGAGGGTGCTGGAGGAGGAGGTCGTGAGGGTATCGGAGGAGGAGGGAGTACCCGAGGTAACGAACGAGAGGGTGCTAGAGATGGAGGTCGTCAGGGTGTCGGAGGAGAAGGGGTTCGGGAGGGTGCCGGAGGAGGAGGTCGTGAGGCTATCGGAGGAGGAGAGGGTACCGGAGGAGGATGGGGTACCCGAGGCGGAGGTCGTCAGGGAGTCGGAGGAGAAGGAGAGGGTATACCATATCAAACGTCAGACTCGCCGGACGTAGTTTTTGTATCGGAGGGGACAAAAGAGGTGGTCCCGATAATAGGTGAGGGAGTGTCGGATATTGGGAGAGTTTCGCGTACTGTTGATGTGTCGGAACTGGTGGTCGGCAAGAGGCCGAGAGCTAGAGTTGGTAATGGGCCGAGTCAAGCCAGCTCGGCCCTTAATGCCACGAACTCGGCTCGTGCTCGGCTCGTTGAAATTGGGCGAGTTGGCTTGGCCAACGAGCTCGTGGCTCGTCCGAGCTTGTGGGCCGAGCCGAGTTTCGGCTCGTGGGCTCGCCTATTTTTTTTTAAATAAAGAATAGAGTTTTAAAAATAAAAAAGTGTTAAAAAATACAAATAATTTAACGAAAACAAGTTTTTATTTTTTTTATTTATATCATATTGTAATTTGTAATACTTTTTATAAAGTATAAAATATTTATATAATGAAAACGAATTATTTTTTGAAATATATTTACAAAAAATATATTTTTTTGATTTCTTTTTAAAGTTAATAAAGAATAGAGTTTTAAAAATAAAAAGTGTTAAAAATACAAATAATTTAACGAAAACAAGTTTTTATTTTTTTTATTTATATCATATTGTAATTTGTAATACTTTTTATAAACTATAAAATATTTATATAATGAAAACGAATTATTTTTTGAAATACATTTACAAAAAATATATTTTTTTGATTTCTTTTTAAAGTTAATAAAATGTAAACCCTCATCCTTTATCCGGACTTGGGAACGGCTACATCAATTTTAAGTAGGCGGAGTTAAAAATTGTACACGAACAACTTGTTGTAATGTGTACAATTTTTTAAAGAAAATTAAATTTAAAGATTAAAAAATAAAAAAATTTTGATTAATATAATTAAATCAAATATCACTTACCTGACGACGTGCAATTTCAACGTATTTATCTTGTAGTCGAAAATGAGCGTCCTGTCAATCCTTCACACACATTAATGCTTCCAAAACATTTTCTTTCAGTCGACTCCTGACATCGGTCTAAATTCTTTTACCTTCACTAAAAGCAGACTCCGAAGCAACGGTGCTAACCGGAGGTGTCAATAGATTTTTCGCAATTGCAAAAACAATTGGCCAACATCTTTCATACTTTCGTCAGAATTTAATTACTTCTTCTGAAATTTTTTTAATTGTTCTGTTTGTTGGCATATTATGATTGAAATAATCAATTAATTCGGCATGCATCGCATTTTGAGTTTCAGTCGATGTTTGATGAGATTCAGATGTAGATGACATGGCACTAGATGAACACATTGCAGTTGCATCGTATCTAAATGTATTAATGCCCTTAAATAAATTCATTATTTCTGCAGCATCTTCTTCAATTTTAGCAGAAGGAGTAGGTACAACAGAGGGTACCCGACTAACATTCGCACCCATTCTTTCTGCATATAAATCATACATTCCACATAATATTTGCTCTAAATTCTTATAGGTGATAGGTGTATCAAGTATTAAAACTTTATTGATTTGATCAATTACGTATTTAGTTCCTGAAATATTATATTGGGGGTCCATTGCGCATGCTAAAGGAAATAACATAGGCAGTTCTTCCCAATATTTTCTAAACTTTAATTCCATAGCAATTAAAATTTTAGTAAAAGCATGATCATTTTTATATTTATGGAATGTTCTTGCAATTATATAAATGCGTTTAAGCACCATACAGCTTGTGGGATAATAAACGCCGGATAAAATCTTTGTGGTCTCATAAAAAGATGTCAAAAATCGTTTCACTTTCAAAGCTAAAATCCAATCGAATTCATTTAACATATCATCATCATCACTTCTAACATGTCTATTGTTATAAAAGTCAGTTATTAAATTTTCAAAACCTTCACATGATTTTAATAGCAAGTATGTAGAGTTCCATCTATGACCTACGTCGCTAACAAATATTTTAGCAGTCATCACCTCTAGTTCGGAACAAAAATCTTCAAATGCTTATTTTCTATTAGGAGAGATCGTAATATATACTAATGCATTCCTAATCCTTTGAAGTGCATCCTTTATATGTTTTAAACCATCTTGCACAATTAAATTCAAGATATGACACATACAACAAATATGAAACAAATACCCACCAAAATCAGGTTGAAGTGTCCTACACAATTTATCGATGACTACCTTATTAACACTAGCATTATCAAAAGTAAAAGATCGAATTTTACTCTCACAATGATATTCTCTAACAATACTGATAATAGCATTATATATATTATTAGCATTGTGAGGAAATTCAATAATTCTAAAAGCAATAATTTTCTTATGCATGCACCAAAGTGGGTCTATACAGTGTGCGGTTGCAGCTATATATGCTCTTTTATTAACCCCTTCCCATATATCAGAAGTTAAGAATATAACACCCCCATATTGTTGTAAATCCATAATTAATTGTTGTTTTGAATTATCGAAATAATTTATTGTATCGGCACGAAGAGTGTTTCGACTTACCCCAACGTACCTCAGTTGTAGATATTCTTTCACGAACGAGATGAAGTGTTGGTTGTCTGCAATAGTCAGAGGCAACTCAGTGGCGACAACAAATTTCACCATTCCGGTTCGAGTCTCGTCCTCCGAATACACCCACGTGGATAGGGATGAAGTTGTAGAACCGGCGCCTGGACTGCCAAATTGTAATTGTGTTTGACCAGCTGGAAAAAGTCCATGTATGGCTGCAAATGATTTGTAGTGGCGGTTGAGATGAGTGGTACCAATTCCTTTTTGCCATGCCAATCTTTGTTGGCAGTATTTACATACTGCTTTAGATTCTGCAAGGCCATCAACGACTTTTTCCGTTGAAATCAACTTAAAGTGATCCCAATATTTTGCTTGTTTTTTGGCCTTTCGCTTTCCCCTCGCATCTGGGATATTTAATTGCTGATCTTCATCTTCATGTTCCGCTTTGGGAACGTTAATATCATCTAAATCAATTGGAGTGTGGTTTCCTTGACCGTGAATGTGAACATTTTCAGGTATTGGTACGTCATTTAGACCGACAAATTCATTTGGAAATTGACTTTGCGGCGTCCTAGGCGATTTTCCATGATGTGGCAGTGGCTCACATCCTGTATCGAACAAGCTCTCAATAAATGAACGTTGATCCATTTCTGTGATTGTTTATGATGAAATCTTGACTAGATGAATATAAATGTAGTGAGATTGTGAGAATTGAGAATTGGATGAATTGAAATTGTAACTAATAAACTGTAAAAATTGAATTGATATTGTATATTTTACAGCACAAGAGAGTAAAAACTCGATAATTGATATAATAAAAGAGAGTTGAAAGGGTTGTAATTTTGGAAGAGCAATTGATATGAAAAAAATCTTTGGGGGAAGGGGGTATTTATAGTAAAAAGAGGGGGGGGAATAAAAATAAATTAATTAAAATTCAGTGACTAAACGGTCACTGAATAAAAGTTTAGTGACCATTCTGGTCACTGAAAAGTGACCAAAACGGTCATTTAGACGGGCTCGAGCGGCTTGGCTCGCGCTCGGGCTCGTGAAATCGAGCAGCCCACAAGCCTCTTTTCCACGAGTCGAGCCGACTCGGCCCAATTGACATCCCTACCAAGAGCATCATCACAGTACGTCGTTTCTCCGTTTACCGCGGAGATGAAAAGGAGAAGGTTCGTTGACGGCACGCACCTGAATTTATTCAGGGAAGTGGACCACGCCAAGTGGAAAGCGTTCAAGGTGGAGTAGTTTATGCCTAGGTAAGTATTGTATTATTCGTTAAAGATTAGGACATTGCGCAGATGCTGACACATCTATATTTTTACTTAACAATTTCTTTTCTTATTTTTCAGAGTCAGTCGCATGATTGCTCATAAGACGATCTCGGACGCTTACAAGTGGTTTCACGACATCACAACTTCGGGGGCTTGACTCGCCGATGATGTAAATGAAGTAGTAATATTGTTATTTATTACGTATACATATTTTTGCGTTTTGCATTTATGAAATTAAATAACTCATTTTTTAAGTTGTGCTGCACATTGACTTCGCTATGAATTTGCTATAAGATCGAGCTGAACGACATCCAAGATCGTTCAACATTTCTAGCCGACTCATATTGAACACTGAGTTCATACGTGTCGTTGATATTGAGTACCAGACGTTGCAAGCTATGGGTAGCGAGTATACGGTACCTACATACATGATAAAGTGGGTCGTAGGGATGTGGCCAAGTGTCGAGGGAAAGCCATGGGAGGGTTGTACGCATCTGTATATTCTGGTGTGTGTCAATCATCACTACATTGCTGTGGAAATTGTATTTGCCGACTTGACTATGTATGTGTATGACCCCGATCATTCATGCCTGACACAAGGTCGGCTCGAGCAAAATCTGGAGTCGATGTCTGTGATCGTCTCCATGCTGGCTAGACAAGCGAACATTACTGTGCAGGACAGACTAGCCACCGTGCGGGACACGACGATGGCGAGACAACAAATATCGTAAGTGTTTATTATTTTATTTTTGTAATTTACAACTTATGTTCTAATTAGACAGTGATGTGCTAATACAATATTTTGTAATTGCAGGGGTGATTGCGGCATATTCGCTATCAAGTACATAGAATTTTTGAGTGTAGCACAAAAGGTTGACGCAATCAACCAGGCGTGGATACAAAATTGAAGAAATAAATTAGCTTGTGATTTATTTGAATTTAATGGTGATTCGCAAATATTGAGTCGTGTTTCTTTAAAATAATTGTACATATTGTAATGTTTAAACATTGTATATTTCATTCATTCATTTATAATTACGAAATAATTGTAAAACATATATTATTTCTTATTTAAATGTTTCATGACGTATTTATAATGTTTGGGTATATTGTGGAGAATGCATTGAGTTTTAAAAAATGATTAACTTCAAATATTACGTAACTAATTAAAGAAATATTAAAATAAAAACAAACTAAATCTAATAATTAACATAAATAATTAACATTAAGAATATGCGTGAATAATTAATA